CTCGATGGGTGATGTCAAGGCTGTAACCAAACAATGTAAAAGGACAAAAGTCAGTCGGGGTAACCAAGTAAATCCTAACTGCAAAGTATAGGAAAAAAAATAAGTCACACATAATTAGAAGGAAATAGCAAGCTTGAGAGTCAGTGAGTTAATTCAGGCAAGCGCTTGTGGTCACACAAGCCCATTCTGACCAAAGGGGTCAATGTTAATTGGTAAGCCAGTGAGCTTGACAGCAGCCTGGGGCAAAGGACACCAGGCCAACAGTGTCACCCATTGAGTGTGTCTGTCCCTGACTTTGGAATGTCCTGCAGAGGGCTCTCTGCAGACAGGAGCATGTCAACATCTCCCTGGACTGGACTTAGGCACAGAATGTGGCTAAGCAGAAACAGTCACAATCAGGACTGATTCAATAAGCAGCTAGCTTCCAACTATATTCTTCAACTCTCCGTTATCCCCTAAGCTAAAATGAGAGGGGAAGCTGGCAGTCATAGGGCCTACTGCAGATAGGAGGGGCAGGCAGGCAGATGGAGGCTAACAGCTATGGGCATCTCTAGAATCATAGGGGTTATAGACACTGGGAGATAAGTCTTCGTCTATCTACAGGTAGGGTCTGGCTATGTAGTGCAGGTTGGCCTTGAATTTGCAATGTGCTTGCTTTGGCATTCTTGAGTGCTAAAGTTACAGGAATGCAGTATCACATGCGCCTATGGCTTGCTTTGCAATGCACTTGGCCAGTGTCTCTAGCATCTTTGATCAGTTTCACATTGTTAGGACCACCTCAAACTTTCTTTTCTTAGGACGAAGCTGTAGTGTAGACTATACGCACAGCAGAAGGTAACAATACGCTCCGAGAAGCACACACTGGAAGCTGAGTGGCTGCTCCAAGTCCTGATATAATATGTGTAATATAATAATACGTAGTCTATGCACAGCAGGATGTAACAATACATTCTTAGACACATACACTGAAAACTGAGTGGCTGCTCCAAATTCTGACAGCCACCAAAAACATGTGGCATTCCACACAATTTATCAGCCCACTAATCTGCAAGAGATATGGTGAACAAAATAAGTTCTGTTGCTTTAACATGTAATGAGTGTGGAGAAGCAGAAACCTGTACATTAGAGAAAGAAGACACAGCCAGTAAGGGGATACATCACCATTTAAAAAGTTGCGCTGGTTTTCTAAGATTTGGTTGATTTCATGGATCCACGTTTGCCGGACACTTGGACTAGATGAATGCAAAATGAAGGTCTCCACCATGTCACCTGTCCTTGATGTCAGAGCAAATTTACAGGGATCATTTTCCACATTTTCTTCCAGGCAAAGGCAACTCACCTTTAAAACAATGAATCATTACACAACAGTTAAGACGTGGGAGCATCCTGGACATTTACCAACTGAAGGATGGCTAACAAAACATATGCCTGCTGTGGAGTGTCATCCAGCCTTCATATGAGAGGATACTCTGATAGACACTGCAACATGGTCAAACTTTCAAACACCGTCAACTTCAGTAAGCCACACACACAAGGATAAATATTTAAGACTCTACACACATAATCTCCTGGAAGTCGTCACACTCTCAGAGACAGAAAGAGGCAGGGAAGTTGACAAGGGTTACTGGGAGGGGACAATGGGGATGTCAAGTTTAATGGGTGGAGAGTTTTAACTTTTGCAAAATGAAAAGAGTGTCTGGGGTCTGAGCAGTACCACAGCATAAATGTACTTAATATCACCAAGCTGTTGCCCGAAAAACAGTTAAAATGGTAAATACTATGTTATATATGTTTTACCACAAACTTAAGTCTGAAGGGAATTTCATCCTATGCCAACAAGGCGACAACCACTTTTTAGTTGAATGTCTCTTAGCTGAACAGCTTCAGGAACCATTTAGGAATCAAACATTCCTAAACCAAATATCTAAGCCCGCAGTGTGGTGAAATTTAAAACCAATAAAACATTGTAAGGGCCTTGTGTGATGGTCTGCAGTGAAGACGTGGGCTCATGCAAACCACGTAGTAAAAGGGATCTCAGGTGACACGGATACAGTGAAGACGACACACAAATGCACTGTGTTTAGAAGTGGGTCCCATCCCGGGGGCTACTGAGATGGCTCCATGGGTAAAGGACTTTGCTGTATAAACCTGATAAGATGACTTCATCCCCGGAGTCCACACAAATGTAAAAGGAGAGAACCAACTCCACAGAGCTTGTGTCTGGCCTCCACAAGTGCAATGTGGCACATGTGCCCAACTACACACGCATAAACCCCCCAAAAAAGAATTGGCACCATTGCTAAGTTGCCATTCTGTATATAATAAATATTCTAAAACTGAAAAAAAAAATAGCCTGAAATCAGAAAGATTTTTTTTCTGCAGCATTTCAGACAAGGTATCCAATATGCATCATGAGGCTGTGCAATGCCAGGTACAAGGCTATTATTAGGAGTTTAATGGCTTGACCAACAGCACAAACAATTAAGTAGCTTTGAGGGCTGGGGTTATTATCTGTTTGCAAAACTCCTCTGCGCTCATCCTTTACTTCTCTAAAATAAAAACACATATTAAGGGGCCGGCAAGACAGCCCAGCAGGTAAAGACACTTGCCACCAGGCACAATTATCTGAGTTTGATCCCAGGGACCCACATGTTGGAAGAAAACTGACTCCCATACCTTGTCCTGACATGCACACACATAAAAATAAACAAATGTGCTAAAAAACACTAAAATTTCAAATATCAAAAAGGATATGCATGGGTATCTGATATTATGACTAAAATACAGAAACAACTTCACAGAAGCAAGATATACACAATATAATGAATGCATCAGTGGACCTTGTAAGGTGTTGGGGTGACTTTCTGCACAGACTTGGGGAAAGAATACATAGGGATTTTAAGGTGAGGGTAGGTGTCTGGGCATGGCTTCAGAGGGAATAAGCTGCACAGGGTGGCATGTGACCCAGAGGATTTGCATCTCAGTTTCAGGCCTCGGGAGCTCTTCTTTTGCTGCCTGGCTCTGAAGCCTTTGCGGGTCCTTGTGAACGAAGGATCATCTGGCCCAAAGCCTGTGCCCACAGAGCAGCCTGCCCGGGTTCAGGCACCAGAAACTGCAGTCTACAATAACCAAAGCAGCTTCATGGGAGAGAATGCCAGTCTCACCTGCACACTATGAAGCCTAGGGACTCAAAGGCCCAAGAGGTTCCCTGGCACCTCCGATGAAGATCCTGGTGTTAGTGTAGGAGGCTCTAATAGAGAGGGGCACATCTCTGTTCTGAACTCAAGCCTGAGCAGCTGCAGACATGGCAAGAACTTAGGGAAGGTGTATGCATGCATCGTCTAGGGACCACCCGCTGGGGCTTCAGGTTCCCCTCTGTCATTCATTCCATCATCTTGATTGGATTCCTTTACAGAGTTAGGATCATTTACAATTATTTTCTGTTTACTTTTCTTTGCCACCAGAGGGCAAGCTACCCCAGGGCAGAGAGGGTATGTGTCCCATCTCTGGAGGCCCATGCAGGAAGGGTGGAGGATGAGACACTGAGTTGGCTATGTCCTTTGGTTCCAGGCCAGTACCTTAAAGCTAGGGCTCTGGGTGTGAGTGAGTTTTACATGGTCTTGCAGAGGGCAACGCTGACCACTGCCCTCTGGCCATAGTCACACAGGCATTCAGGGCAGCAGGTCCAGAGCACAGAAAACAGAAAGAGGCAGTTTTAAAGGTTCACCAATGTACTCGAAGGTTTTGTGAATATTAAATGAAATAAGCATCGGGAAATGTCACCATAAGTAGAAAGTGTTATTAGCATGACAGGCAATGTACTGACACATGAAGCTCGCAGACAAGCGTTACCTTGATACTGTTCTTGAATAGGAATCCTGGCATGGAAAAGCCCTTTTTTTTATCAAGTGGTTCGCTGAATATGACGATCTGTTCAAAGAGGAAAACCCGCCTCTCTTTGCATCGAGGCAGAAGTCCTGCATCTTGGTCTGTGACCAAGAATGTGTCCTGCAAGAGCAGTTTACCCTGGGCAACTATTTTACCCTGAAAAAAAAGAGGGGAGGAGAAGAAGGGAGAACATTGCAGTCTCAGTGATCAATGGTCTGTTTTCTTTGGTTTCCTCCCACAGGATGACATGTCCTTCTAGGTGCTTACTCTTTCACTGTAATGTATTCTTAGCGCTGAGCAGAACAATTCTTTAGTTAAAAGTCTTGCCAACCCCGTGTAACCAATGGCTTCAGAATCAGAGTAAGAAAGGGCTTCTCTAGGTGTGGTTCTGACAAAAGGCAGCCATCCCTCTCCCCTAGGTGTGTTAGCAAAAGCCCTCTAGGTACAGACTGTGAGCTTCAGCCTGAGGAACACAGACCTGGGACATTAAACCCTAATGTTCCATAAAGCAGGTATCAAGAAACACAAAAGCATCTCATGGCTCCTTACTCAACCAGAATAGGGATTCTGGTCTTCATTCACTTTTTTTATATATATGTAAGAATCAGAGTGTGCAATCTGTACAAGTTGGGTAGACTCAAGAACTTAGTGGTCCTGAAGTCTCTCTTTCAGGGATGAGAGAAGGGCAGGAGCCTTCATCTCTAGCTCTCATGACTTTTGATGCTGAGAGAGGATGCAGATGCTGTCAGAGACAAAGAACAGCCCTGCTTGCTGGCCTCTACTCTAACAGCTTCAGGCAGAGGAAGGTTCCCCAAAGCAAACCAAAGGCACCAAAAAGAGGCTGAAAAGAAGTCAGTCATGTTGAAGGAGAGTGAGAAAGACAAAAACCCCCGAAACAGAAAGGCCAGCTTTCTACACATGCAGAGAAACAGTCCAGGATGAAAGAAAAGGGACAGGAGCCCTTCAAAGAACAACTGCATTACGTCAAATCCTTGTAGCCGCCCAACGTTCATCATGTCGTTACACCGCTTCGGTACTATGCACATGACTTCTACAGCTTTCTGCGGGTGGGGAGAAAGCAGAGTCAGAGTTCAAGCTCCTCTCAGTGCTAACCCTCTGCTGTACCTCCAATTTTAGTTTCTCTCCAGACAGGGCAGAGATCCCATCCCCCTGACATGACCTCTCCCCGGGACCAGTCCCCATGGTGGGAGGGGTTTTGCACGGGCACAGCAGGCCCACAAAATACCTCTAATTCTGTCGTATCCAGGCTAGCTTTTTTTGAGTACTTGAGGAAATCCTGTGAGGGAAGTGAAGAAGGAGATGTGGTGAGCGTGGTGGGCAGTGGCAGCTGGCCTCCTGACTGCCCTTCTGACAATAGGCCCTCAGCATATTCACTCTACATCCTCAGCCCCTCCTCTCATAACCATGGCACAAAGGCATCCCGAACGTGAAGCCATCCTTGGTTCCCACTCTATTCCCAGACCAGCTGTGGTCTCTCTTCACTCCCAGGCCCTAAGCTTCAGGTAACTTTACCTCTGGTGGAAATTAGTAACTTAAAGCAATTAATAGCTATTGCCAGGCCAACAGGAACAGATAGATGGTGACTCCGCGATTAGTTTTAGCAAGAATCCAAGAAGACAAGATGGAGAAATGACTCAGCAGTTAGGAGCACTGGCTGCTCTTGGAGAGGACCGACCCAGGTTTGATTCCCCACATCCATATGGTGGCTGACAACTGTTTGCTACTCTGGTTCCAGGGGTTCCCACACCTTCTGGTCTCCATGGATGCCAGGCACATATGTGGTACACAGGCATGCATATAGCTAAAATACTCATATACATAAAATACACATATATCTAAGGTTGAGAGAGCTAATGAAAAATCACTACCATTCCATGGCATATGGCAGAGACACAATTTGCGTGGACTGACCCTTTGATTCCTACTTGACAGGAATGAAATAGTGAAAGAACCGTATGAAGGAGTCCTCCTAATGCAAAGAATTACAAGGCAGGTCTTTGAGAAGGCAGGGAGACCCTTCTCCCATACCTGTGGAGGTTCGGAGGGTGAAGGAAGTCCCACCCCTGTGGCAGAGTGACTGTGAGCCTGCTCTTGCCCCTTGGCCTCACCTTCAGGAGCAGCTGGTACTTCATGATTCTCTGCACAGGTTTGATCAACAGATCCGTGAGCTGCAGTCTGTGGCCAAGGCGCTGCTTTAAGTCCTGGGGATTTTAAGAGAAAAACAAAACAAACCACATCGAGTGCTGTTTGTTAAAAGGCAACAATTTTATTTCTTATAATTAACCACAACACCCCAATTGATAAGGGAACGAAATAAATAAATAAATAAAATAAAAAAGGCAACAAGAGTGTCCTATCCCTCAGGATGTAAACATTTGGTTTGAATCTTCCTGGTGGGTTTTCAGAGATGTCTACTCATTTGAAAGCTTCATTCTGCCCTGCCCGCCCTAAGAGGAAAAGTATGTAACACAGGCTGGCCTATGTTAGCCTTTGGAGTCTTGGGATTATTAAGGCATTTTTTTTTCAGTTGTTTTCTTTATTCACATGAACACATATGTCATTTTTAGAAAAGAAGTCCAGATCTGAATGACTGAGTTTGAAATGAACTTTAAAATTAAAAAGACAAAAAACCATTTCTCCCCCAGGGCTGGAGCGATGGTTAAGAGTGCTGGCTATTATTTTGAGACAGAGTTTCATTAAGTTATCCAGGGTGAAGTTTATCTTGCTATGTAGCCCAAGTTGAGCCTTAAACCTGGGATCTTTGCACCCCATAGCAGGCATCCTGGGGATGAGCCACAAATTGCTCAAACCCTTCATTCAGTGGCCTTCTGAATGGTAGGCTCTGAGTCCACACTCTTTTATGATTTAGAGACTATAAAGCAAGCCTCAGGACACAAATCTCTCAGGCCAGCTCCATGAGGGAGTGACACTTAAACTTCTTGTAATCACAACGTAGTCTCAGCCTCAGAAACCAGCTGTTCCTATGCTGAGTCTTACCTCAAAAAAGGTATCAATGTACTCGGAGACAATGTGCTCAGACTTTGGCTTGTTTTGACAATAGACTATGTACATGTGCAACCTCCTCTCCTAGGAGTAAAAAGGCAAACAGATGGTTAGACCACTGAGAGTTCAGGCAGACCGTCAGTGCACGCAGGAGCACACCATTTCAGAGCAAAGTTGTCGATGTTAGCAGCTCACTCTGGCTATGGTCTCTGAACAGCCCTCCGCTCTCATTCCTGGTACAGACCTGATCCTTACTGTACCGTACCAGCAAATCCACTGGCAGCATGAGAACACACTTCCATTACTCCCAGGCTGCCAGCAGTCCTGGTGACTGTTTTGTGATTATTAAGTTTCTAATCTCAAATCCCACAGGAGGGAAAGTAGGGACAACGTGCCTCCTGCTAATTCAACGGCTTTTGAGGCTCGGTGTACAGACCCCTCAGGGGCCATGAGGCCTATTTGTGGTTCCCATAGGTCAAAAATCACTTTCAAAATACCACTACAATATCCTTGCCCTTTTTGTGGCGGTGACATCTGTACTGATGAACCTCGGGTCCATGGTGGGGGAAATCATTGGCATTACAGCCAATTGTTGTCACTATTGCAAATCTGCCGTGGAAAATGCCAGCTTCACTTCAGCATGCCACCGATGAAGTCATAAAAGCCAGTCATCTTATTAAAACTTCAACATGGCACACACATGCTTTCAGCATTGTTGTGTCAGGATAGAAGTCTGCTTAACTCTCCCTCTTGCTCAGCCATTGCCTTAAGGAAAAGCACTTGTGACTGATGTGAGTTCAACGACTGCTTTTGTTATGAACCACCAATTGAACCTGACAGAATGATGGGCATGCACTGTGATTATTTTTACTCTGCAATCTGGTAGACATTTTCTTGAGCACTGATGAAGTAAGCTTGTCATCTCAAGGCAAGACACAGCTGGCAGTGTGGACAAATAATGAAAATCCCATAGTCAAGAGGGAAAAAATAAAAGAATTCTGGAAAACATGTGCCTTAGCTTGAGGAGACTCTCCTGCAGTACCAGTGATGATGCTAAAAGTCTGATTTGGGATAATGTGCGATGAACCACATACCAACACCTGGAAGAACCTGCCACACCAGCTAGCTTCCAACTGTCTCATTCATGATTCTCAAGACTATACGGAGCAAAAGGTTCTGAAGGCAAGTCGGCCACACAGACAATAAACAGCAAGGGAAAGGACCACACACAGTCTTCTCAGAGCCTGTGTTGTAGAACTGGCCTTTAAGAACGTATCCTTTAACAAAGATAACTATCTACAAATACTTGAAAAGATATTTAAGGTATTCATCCATCTCTAGCCACTGTCTGTGTGAAGATGGACTTTTTTTCATGTACTGTAACAACAACAACAACAACCAAATTCTACAATGTATGGAGAGCAGAAGCAGATATGAAAATCTACCTTCTGTTAAGCTTGATATTAAAGTTAATGCAAAAATGCAAAGCCTTGTTATTCTAGAAAATACAGTGTTTTTTTTCCCTTAAAGCAATTAGCATACATATCATTTATTTTAGATACACACATATATTAGGCCCACTACAGGTATGGGCAGATGCATAATTACCAAAGACTTGTTTCCTTTCAGACACCTGCAAGGTTACCGGGTCAAGCCTGTCTGGCTCTGGAGCCCTAGACCAGCCTGCATTGTTGCAACCCAAGTAGCCAGACAGGGAGCCGAGTGAGAAAGCAGTTAACTCAGAGGCAGACAAGCCACAGGGGATTAAAACTACACAAACTGACAGCATTCACTCTTACACATGTCAAGTGTTCTCATCTTCAAGACACTAAAGAGACCAATAACAGAACAGAATGTAAATACTGTCTCTGTACTCACATGCTTTACAAAAAGGGATCCTAGTTTCTCTGGGTCTTCAAGGCACTTCTCCAACTCTCCTAAAAAAAAGCTGGAGACAGAAGAATATCAGCACTTTTCCCAACTTGTCTTTTTAATTGTAGACTCAGCCTATGCAGAGGTGGACAACTTGGAAGACTACAGTTTACATTTCACAAGTGTGAGCCAGGCAGAAAACACTCAGAACCAAGTGTAAAAAGACAGAGAAGAAACTTCCCCTCAACTCCTTCAGACAATTAATATTTCTTGTTTCAGCTTCTTTCAAGGACGTGTGTACTAACATCTGGCCAGATGCAGAGTGAAAACAAATGTCCCAAAGCACTGGTCCTTTCCATTTCTGAAAGTTTGGTCTTCTTATTCATGAACTTGTGTGAGTCCATTCCATGATCATTCTTAGATCATTTTTTGAGCAAACTGGGCAACAGACATAAGCTGATTTCACCTGTGCCAGTTTTATGAAATTTTCTCAGGTAACACTGACATCAAGTTTAGTTAGAAATCATAGCCTTGTATGGGCCCAGAGGATAGTGACAGCACAGTTGTGCCCTGCTCTTCTCTAAGATGCGAGTCGCCTTACCACTTACATATGCTTGAAATTTTGAGTTGCATTGAGCTAGCTCACCTGCCCACATCTCCCTTTCTGAAGTGGATGCCCTACACTTGTATTAAGCCCATAGTTTGGAGAACATACGCTGAGTTAGTATTTAAAGTTGCCCAATTGATTATCTATGGGTTCTAGTGAATTAGATGCTACCGAACTCATGCAAATGAAAAGCTTTTCGTGAATTCAAAGGTTTTGTGCTCCCTTCAGAGAGGTAAGAGCAGGATACAAATTACTGCTTGAAATGTCCTTCTGTAACACCTTTCTATACCTGTATGATATTTCACAGCTTAGAGGGCACAAACATATCTGATGGCTGGAGAATCGGAGCAGTCAGGCCTAATGACTAATAAGTGGGCCTATGTGGCCTTAGCTTTATATATCATTTTTAGTGTGTGTGATGTGCATTCACGGCTGTGTATGTGTGTATGGGGAGCAAGTGTTATGTTTGTGCACATGTGTGTGAAGCCCCAAAGCTGGTGGCTGGTGTGTCTATTTTGATGCTGCCCCACCTTGACTACTGAGGTAAGGTTTCTCATTTGAAGCCAGAGCTCATGGATTTGGCTAGTCTTGATGACTAGCTCACCCCTGGGATCCTGTGTCTACCTCCTGTGTCCCGGTATTATAGGAGGGTTTCTGTGCCCACCCAACTTGTACATGGTGCTGGGGATCCGAACTTGGTCCTCACACTTGTATAGCATGTACTTTACACACTGAGCCATCTCCTGACCTCCTGGGTCTTGGCTTTAATGAGGGCTGGGGTCTGCGGATGAGGAGAGCATGCTCCAGCAGGGGAGTGGCTGTGTTGATAAAGCAAGATAGCAGGAGGCCTGAACAGGTCATGGAGGCAGAGTACTGCAGCTGGAAAGCCACTACAGTATCAGTGGCCACAGTGTCAAGCAGCCCTAGACAATGAAGGGCTTTCAGATTATATTAACAGAGGGTCAGCTCCTATATACTGGCTCCCCATTGCCCTCTCCTGACTAGCATAGGTGTGAGGAAATTTTATTTTCCCGGGGCATCCTGTCTGCTTCTCCACTGACACTAAGTTGAGCGAGTGACAGTAACGTGGACTCAGCGGGCAGCTGCGGCTCTACTGAGAAACAGTGCCTCACTGTCTGCAGACGCTGCTGAGTGCTATGCAGATATTAACCCGGTCACTGGGTATGAAGAAGATGCTCCTGTATATGTGGTGTGGATGAAAAAAGGAGGCACAGAGAGGGTCACAGGCTCTGCTCTGAATGCTTGATGCCCAGCTGGGCTGTGCTATTTGAGAGGTCACAGAAAGCTTAGGAGCCAGGCCATAGCTGGAAGACCCTCCTCACCTCCTGTTGCTTTCTACTTCCTGTCAGAACGAGGTGAAGAATCTCCTAAACTACATGCTCCTGCGGTCACAGTGTCTTTCCTGAGTGTATGGGGACAAGTGATCATGGACTTGAAGCAGGGCAGAAGAACAGGGAAACCAAGGGGACAGATGGAGGGAAAAAGAGCTTTTCATTTCCTGGGGTCTGGTTTGTATTTCTTGCTGGCTCAGACACAGACTTTTAACATAACTAGCAAAACCGCATTGAGGGTTGCTTACATAGAGACGGCATTCACTTTCCCGAGAAGATCTCAAACAAGGCTAGCTGAGAGCTAGTGGCTGCTGGGGGTAGGGAGAGTTAATTTTCTGGGGGGTGCGGCCTCGCCTAGCTTTCCCATGCTCCAATGGATGTCTTCCACCCACACACATATGGGCAGCATTAACTGGACCTGGTAAGCTATAAAAAGGGGGAGAGAAATGAGAGGATATGGAGTTGGGAGGGGGATGTGTGGGGGCTGTCTAAGAGAAGTTACAGGGATGGGGATGGATATGATCGAGAGATTGTATACATGTATGGAATTCTCAAATACATGTATTATACATGTATAAATGAAGTAAGGTGAAAAAAATCAACCCAACAAATTTAACTGGGGTGTGAGGAAGAGCTAAGACCTATGTCAAAGCAAGTTTAACTTCCTCTGAAGGGCACCAGCACACCTTTCTATCTATACTTCATCTTAGCCCAGGGGCTGGGAAGGGCTCCTTCCTCATTTGTAAACCTGCGCGTTTCAGAGAAAAACCATACAGATGAGATGAGCCACATTCACAATAAAAAAATACACATCTTACTCTCCTTGTGATCTGTGTATATCAAGAATTCTGTCCACCCTCTGACTTGTTATCCCATCAGCACATCCTGAAATTGTTTGTGTGGTCTAAGTCAGGATCCCTGCTACACCGGATTAGGTTCCTGGAAGCGAAAACTTAGGTTTCATGACAGTCAGCCCTGAGCTGCATCTTCCACACTGTTGCCAGAGCAAACCCTCTGAAACTGTGAGTCAAAACAAGTCTTTATACCTAGTGTCACCATATCATGCCCAGAGCTCGTGGTGCCAAGCCATCTGAGAAAACCCTCTGAAAATATGAGCCAAAGCAATCTTTCCTTCCACAAAGTTGTTTGTGTTGGGTATTTTTTTTTGTTACAAAGAAGAAAAGCTAATTAGTTAAAAAAAAAAAAAAAAAAAGGAAGTAAATGGCACAGTTGTAGGGCATGACCCCAAGGAGATTGCTTCTGTTCAGGGACCTGGCATCTTGGCACAGATTAGCATGAAAGACACATGAATCTTTCCCATGCCATAAAATGCTACAATAGTACAGCACTTTGTCCTTAACTACAACTCTCTTCCATGAAGCTATGAAGGTTACAGAACTAAATGAATCTAAAAGTTTCCTTTAGCCGCGGCCAGGCCAGAGACAGCATCACACATGGCAGGTGTCTTACGTACTCTCTGTGCCAGTCGTAGATCTGATGGATGTTGCCAAACACGATCTTGTCTTTGCCCTTCATGTCATCGGGAACACCATCTTCTTTCATAAGTGCCATGTAGCCCTGCAAAGCAATGTTTGTAAGTGAGTGCACACACGACTGGATGCAGTATGTGACTGCATCACATACTGGATTAGCAGTCATGCTGCATGACATAGACACACGCCATCTTGTTTGAGAGCAAGCCAAAAACCTGCACGAAAGGTGTCCTTACCTACTGCTTCAAACATATTGCTATAGTCGCTGCTGTAACTGCCCCTCCTTGAACCATGTAACATTTGTAAATAAATGAAAATTCTCCCAAGGAACTTATTTAGCTGAAAAGATGTAAATGGTTCCATAAAGCAAGCAATCCTGTCAGCTACTAAACAGAGAGCTGTCAGTCAGAAGTCCTGCTGTTTTTAGGATATGTATCAGAAACAAAGGAACTGATCTCTGAGATTGTTACACAGCACATTAAAGAGGATTAAACAACATTCTTTCTATAAGTTGCGCATGAACACAGGCCGACTGACTATGTAGCTAATCTGTGCTTTGCACACTCTCTGTCCAGCTGAATATGGTGTGCACTGTGTGTAGCTTGGGTAGCTGAGACAGGAAGCATGTGTGTGAGGCCATTCTATGCTATACAGCAAGACCCTGTTTTGAAACACAACATAAAACTTCTATTCAATTCTAATTAGATGTAGTTTATTGCTACTGCTGACTGTAGAAAAACCAAGCATCCTAAATATTTATGCCAGGGGACTGCAGTGACGCTTATCACCATTGTTCTTCAGCAGTGTTGAGCATGGGACCCAGGCTGTGTGTGCACTAAGCAAAAGCCCTACTAATGAGCTAATACTACAGCATGGTAGCTGCTACTTCTAATGAGATGCGCAGTACCCAAAAGGTATGGTTCTGCATGAATCGGCAAAGCTGAAAGAAAAACAACATTTTGTCCTATAAAAATTCCTCCACTTTAGAGCTAGAGTTGGTGGCACAATCTGTAAAACCAGTAAACCAACACTTGGGAAGTATAGGCATGATGGTTATGAGTTCAAGACGAGCCTTAGCTAAATACTGAGGCAAGGTCTAAAAAAACAGATCCAGGTGTGGCTGCTCATATCTATTACAACACTCAGCAGGCTGAGGCAGGAAGACTGCCACAAGTTTGAGAACAACCTAGGCTACAGCATGAGTTCTAAGTTAGCTGCAGAACACAATATGAAAACCAACCAACCAACCAAACAGGCCTTTGGATGAATTGAGCTGATTGCATGCTCCTGCCTGTAACTCACTAGTCCAGACGGCAGAGGCTTGGCTGTAGCTACAAAGTGTTGAGCAAATGCTAGTGGTGGTACAGTTATTCTGGGAACAGCTATAAATAAATGCCCCGGTAGAGGCACAGGCCAGTGGCAGTAGTATTTGGATTCAGAATGGACTGAATCTGTGGCTTAGTCACACTGGCTTTTCAACCAATATTACTGTTGTTTTTGTGGTGACATCTACTCTTACAAAATAATTAAAGGTAAAATTTAAATATGAAAAAATTACAAAACTGCTGGCTATAATCTAAAAACCTAATTACACATAAAGTATACATCAGGATGTACTATTTAAAAAAATATTTACAATTGGATACAGTTTACTAAGATAACTAGCTACATTTTTAAGGCTTTTGAGACAGTATTGCCCTTCTGCCATCTAAAACAGTTCCTCTCTGATGATTCAGGCTATGAAGTTTCTCAAGATACATACCTCAACCACACAGCCAAGGTCTCGCACATAATCTCGCTCCGTTTCCACTAATTCTTGTAAAACATAGCTAGAAAAAGAAAATACAGACTCTGTTTTCTAATGAATAATCATGTACAGATTTTCGTTTGTGGGAATTGGTTCTTTTAGGACTGTACAATATATTAAGTTTATACAAGTGGGTCTGACAGGTTAAGTGAGTGACCCTGAGCACAGAGGTGCACACAAAGGCAATAACAATGGCACAAAATGAAAATAACAAGATGCACAGACATGACTTCATTATGGAGGTATGACATTAGGGGCTGCAGGTTTTATTTATTTATTTTTTTATTGAGCCACTTTAGACTTCAGTGGACATACAGGAAACATTTTCCATTTCAGATATTTCAAATCTGTATACCACACTGAAGTGTATCTGTCTGTAACGACCAAGAGAATAATCCCTAGGCCAGCTTGTTGCCTCCAGATGTTATAGTAAGTCTCTATTGCATAAGTCACCATTCACTTGGGACACAGGACTTGGAAGATTTGAGCTGATCTGACTTGAGAGCCTCTACCCAAAGGCTAGACTCCACAGAACCAGACGGCGCTATGGAAGCTGCCAAAGGAAAGACACCACCAATAACCCTCCCAATGCTTACAGACAACAACAATGACACTCAACACGGCAAGGTATCTCTAGAGGCACAAGATGACACATGGTAACCAACAGCTGTTTAACTGGACTTAAGGAACCCACAGAAGGAAGGAGGTTATGGGTCTCAGGGTCTTACTGCCCCTTCCCTAATCCAGTATAACTCCTCACTGCATTCTAAACACTTGGTCTTGGGCCCACATTAAGTCTAACTCTCCCCTCATCAAAGGAGCTTGCTTCTCTTTGCAGCAGATGGAGACCATTACAGAAAGCCACAACTGGTGGAAACTCAGGGAACACTGATAGCCTTTGATAGTGCCCAGCTGCAACAGATGTGTCTCCAACACAGCCCCCATTTCTAATGCTCAGGGACACTACAGAAGAGGGGCAGCAAGGCTGTAAGAGCCAGAGGACAAGGACTGCCAAGCTGTGTCTCTTAGAAGCGTCAGGGAAGCTCTATTTTTTGATACCTCAACAACATGGCTATCTAGACAAGGGCTAAATGATAACACCAAGGGAGGGGGAGATTCACGGGGCCCCAGTCCTAGGCATAGATCTACAGGAAAGTAAGGAGAGCTGAGAAAGGGAAAACTAACCATCCCGAGGGATGAGTTGTCCCCTTCAGTTGGTTCACTAATATCAAGTAGTTGGCTCTGAAATCATACACACATAAGCTGGACTCAGCGGGATTGTATGTATGTATGTATGTATGTATGTATGTATGTATGTATGTACACACACACACACACACACACACACACACACACACACACACACACACACACATACTCACACACACACACACACACACACACACACACATATATACACATACACACCCAAACATATACACACACATATATATGTACAGGCACATAAACATGTATACACATACACACATACATAAACATACATACACGTGCACACATAAACATATGTAGACATGTGGACACACATATACATACATACATAAACACACACATGCATACACACATATGCACAGGTACACACACACACACACACACACACACACACACACACACACACAGAGACATGCACACAAACACACACTCTGGCTAACTCAGAGGTGCTGCAGTGGGGAGGGGAGTGAGGACGGTGAGGATGTCCATGCTGCTTACTGCCTTCTCTTTAGAGAGCTGGATTTCCTTTCTTCCATCTCATCCATGGGTGAGGAGGATGACAGGAGGGAGTTGTCTGAGGGATTGAAGGAGGGGCTGCTACTGTCTCCCTGGTCCACAAGCAGCGAGCTGGGACGATCCTCCAGTGCCTGGAAGAAATTCAGGACTGATATTAGGGTAAGAAAATCTAAGTCACAAGATACAAAAGATGTGACTGGAAAATTACAAAATTTCTAACAACAGATCAAGCTGCACTACTAAATAAATAAATAAATAAATAAATAAATAAATAAATAAATCAGAGGGGCTGGAGAGATGCCCAGGGGTTTAGAGCATTTGCTGTTCCTGCAGAGGACTCAAGTTCTAGGCCCAGAATCCCCACACCAGCTCTAGACAACCTCTTTTGGCTTCTGCAGGTATTGCACACATATGGTGCACAAACACACAGGCAAAAAACAAAACAAAAAAAAAACAAAAACAAAAAACAAACAAAAAATCCCCCAAAACAATAAAACACCCCCCACTCATGCACATAAATATTAAAGCAGCAAAACCAACAAGTCATGTAGAGTCAGAGGAGCTGGGTAAATAGGAAAATTAGAATCAAAATATTAATCAGTGTGTGTGTGTGTAACATTCTTCTCAGGTGTGACAGGAGATTGGGCATGTGCTTTGAACCCTGTAGAACCTCATGCAGAGTTTGAAGGTATTCAGAAAGATCTTTGAGCCAAGCACTGTTGATTAATGTGACATTGGTTACCGACTGGTGACCTTCTAATTGGTGTTTACCAATTCTTTCTTCAGCTGATTCACTGAGTGCCTAAGGGATTATGGCACTTTAAAAGGCCCCCAAGCTTCCAGCTCGATCCACAGAATGTGTTAGCTGCGAAATGGATGGATGTGGAGAAACAGAACAAAAGCGCAGGGGCACTTAGGCACTGCCTTAGCTTGCTACTAGTAAAGTGAAATTGCTAATGTGTCCTGCTTTCTTCCCTTAATGGGAACAGACTCTTCATCATCTGAGAGCTTGATGACACAGGTGTATATGTGCGACCTTGTGAAAGGGAGCCCACGGAGCTGTGAAATCACACCAACGATGGCTCTTATTTATGAAAATCAGGACAGCAAGTTAGTTAACAAATGGAGCCTGATCCAAAAATTGCACTCTGATAAATAAACAGCAGGTGACCTTTATTGGAAGTACATGTTCTTCCATGAGTGTCAGGGCTTGCGTCATGCTCCTGGATCAGGTGGGTGATGATAGGAAGCCAAGACTGGGGGTGAGGAGGACACTTTGCCCTCTGCTGTCTAGACAGCTGGGGCTCATCAGACAGAACTTTGTTCATTTGAATAACAAGAAAGAAGAGAAAAGAGAAAGACAGGAGAGGGCAAAGGACTGATCTCAGACTTCATCTGTGACCACAGAGACACACCCTCATAACTGTACCAGGTGCCTGGACCTGAAACAACTGAGTCTCAGGTGACTTCTGGCAGCCTGTCCTCAGGTGTGATCTACCTGAGATGGCACCAGAGAGGGTGAAGACATTGTGATGGTGACACAGGATCATATGCTTTTGTGACACTGTGGATGGTCTCCCTGGCTGTGGTGTGACAAGGAAGGCCCCAGCACAAAGCTGTAGTGTGGAGACCTGAAGGATGCTGGATGCATCCCTTGTGAAATCCTTTTACTGCCCATGTTTTATGGGAAAGTCTTTGACAAACCCTTCTTTGAAATGCAATTGTGTGTGTGTGTGTGCACACGCGTGTGTGCGCGGGAATGGGGGGGTACTTCACAGAGCACCTCAGGATAGATTCTAAGGTCAGCCATGTAGGTAGCTGGCCAGCATACATATCCAGAAGTCTGGATACAGAGGCCCATATAAACAAACCACTGCAGCGCCGGGCGTTGGTAGCACATGCTTTTAATCCTAGCACTTGAAGGCAGAGGCAGGCAGATCTCTGTGAGTTTGAGGCTAGCCTGGTCTACAGATCAAGTGCCAGGATAGGCTCCAAAGCTACACAGAGAAATCCTGTCTCGAAAAACCAAAACAACAATGAATAAGTAATAAACCACTGCAGCTGTCAATCAATGTTCACAAGTGCCAAGTGTGATGTGTCCATATGAAGATACTTAGCTGCTGGCACTCGGAATCTCCAGGACCCTGCCCTGTGGAACCTTTACATTGGCCAATTTTTAACCTGGTCCTCTCGTGTAATAAATTGCAACTGTTAGAGTCATAGCTTTTCTGTTCTGGGAGTCCTTTATAGCTACAGATGAACCTTGGGATGACAGAGCAGACCCCTGGATTCAATCCTGGTTGTAGGAGAGTAGTCTGCAGTTGCAGTTATGCCTGAGAGCAATCGGAGGCAAAGGCAAACCTCTGTGCACTGGCAGTAGTGACCTGCAAACCTAATGCTTGACAGGGGAAGCCCTACTGCTCGATGGGGGAAGTCTTACCATTTTGCTCTTCACAAGTTCTTCGATTGCACTGACAAGCTCAGCTGCGCTGGGAGTCTCAGAGCTGGTGGGACGGACTAGTAACCTCGAAGAGGCCTATGGGAGAAGTTAAGACAAAGAACGGGGAGGAGAGGTCTCACGTTAGCTACAGGACAGTGAGTAAGTTCCCTCGCAAACTCCAGCTTTTTTTTTTTTTTTTTTTTAAGTAAGTCCAGACAAAAAGACCACAAGTTTGTCTTTGTTTGCATTTATTTAGAGTCATCCTTTTATATTTACAATATTCTGACATGAAACATTAAATGAAACCTGTCTAGGATACATGTGGGAAGCAGACAATGTCTGTTTTTAATCCACAGTCATGTAACATTGTAATGTTTTTCAGAATGGTGACTGGGCACTGGAGCATCCTAACTGTAACTCTGCAAATGCTGGCTTAAGCTCTAGGCTATGAAGAGAGAAACAGAACCTGGTCAGTGGAAGGGAAAGAAGCTTAAGGTTTAGTAGATGAATCCCCAAATAATCGGAAAACAGAATGGGGCTACTAACAATGGCCTGACTGTGTTTATGGGATTATGAAAGGGAAGGGAGCCAGGGTGCAGTGACCAGATGGGGGAGGGGGACAAGCTCACCATTTCCTGTGCCATCCACTTCCCCAATGATTAACTTCAGAGGACAGAAGAGTTGAAGCCTCACAAGCTACCAGATGCCACTTATGGCTAGATCGAGGGCGTCACGGGGTGACAGTAAAGGAATCTGAGGGACAGGCTACTGAGCTGAGATTCAGTAATTAGCAAACACTGTTTGCAGATTACTTCTGCTGGAGAGTAGCTGGGGTCTGAGGGGCATAGGTAATATGAACCTTGCTTCATATTAAGGACAGCAGAGATGCATGCGACACGTGGCTGGCCCTCCCAGAGATGCGGACAGATACAGAGTTTTACAACAGGCTTTTTACATGTGTGGACCAAAATGCATACTCTACAAAACAAACACCGGTTTGCTCTGATGAAATTTGGAATATGAGATGAACAAAATGGAGAACAAAAAATTCAAATGGAAAGGTAAGGAAACTGAGCCAAAACAGACACAGAACACAAATCAACATAATGCTGCAGTGGAAGTTTACAAAAAGAGAAAACAGAACAAAACAAAAAATTAGTTCAAGATAATACACTGTCTGGGAGCATCACTAGACTTTTGTAAATGAAGACTTGCTACTGACAATACCCAACCAGGTGGCATAGTAAGCAAAGTAAACAAGTCTCCAGCCATTCAGTCTTTTAAGGTAGGAAAATAAGCCAATAAAGCCCGCTCCCCATTGCTTGGAGAACTACCCAGATTTAAGAAACGTTAGTTTTTCTGTTTTGAAAAAGCTATTGGTTTAGACTGTTACAAAACAGTTTGAGTTGTTATAACACCCACATAGCCGGTTCCCTAGCCAGTCACTACACTAAGGGCTTGAGAGCCGCCACTTTCTCTTTCAGAGAGGCTGTGTGTAGGATGAAGCTAAACTCTAACAGGATGGACTGAAGCTTGGCCCCTGCAGCTCACAACCCACGTCCTCAGAACCAAAGCACCAAAGCACTCCGACAGTGCTCAACTGTGGGGGACATGAGCTGTGGAACTGTGTGCTGTGACTTAAGACTCAGCACCAAGTGTGGTGGCCTCCCTGCTGCCACTCACTGACAACATCCTTGGTTGTCAAACAAAGGCTGACAAGTCTAGCAAGTGACTGACAAATCAACAAGGGAGTCAGGAAAGGAAAAGGGAAAAGTGTGAAGAAAAAAATGTTGAAATTACATCCATTTTATTCAGAAAACTTAGTTATTGCCAAACAAAACAAAAATAAAAGAACAACAATAAAAAACCCAGCAATGACTTACTCCCTAGCTCTATTTTTAGTATCTAAGAAGTGGTGATGGTCACAATGGGGCTAGGGTACAGAGAGGGTGTGCAAAATTTGTTTCTTAGGTTTCCCTTTTTGATACTGTATTTTTGAGATTTTACAACTGGAGTGGATAAAATAATCTAAAATGATGTAAGAAGTGAAGGAAAACAGCATGGCCTGAAGTTTTCACACAGCTAAAGAGGCTCATGGCTCAAGTGACTCCTAATATTGTGTAACAATGAATTTGCTGGGGTTCTAATCCTACAAGCACACGTGGCATGTGGAGAAAAGGAACTGGAGAGCAATACAACCTTATTTTGACTAGACAGCCATGTGCAAAAATAAATTATGGAGGAAACATGACGGCCTACTGTGTGCCGAAAGGGACTGCAGGAGATTTCTGCTCTCTGGAGACTCAGAGCAACATGTTAAAAATGACCCGAACAGCAGCAACTACTGAGTCATCATTAAAACACACTGAACATATTTACATGACCACGTGGTATGGGAGCAGCATATGCTGGCCTAGTGCTTGTTCTAAATGGACTTATTATTCATACTTCTGACATATAAACAAGCTGACTGCCGGGAAAACACTAGGCTTCCAGTGCCTGCTCCTCCATCCCTGCATCTCCTGGTCTTTGAAATGTGCTGGCATAGAATCAGTGACGGGCCCCGCCTCTGGAGTGGGTGAGTGTGGCTTTCCTTTACCTTGTCATCCTGCGAGTCCGGCTGAAGGAGGCTGTGCTGCTGGATGGCCATGGGTGGGGGCAGTGGCACAGCATCAGCGCCTTCCTCTCCTTCTTCTTCTCCACAGCTCTGCATGCCCGAGGAGGAGGATTTGGACAGTGTGCCGCTGCTGAGGCCCTCATTCCGTCCTCTCTGAAATCAAACCAACCACTACTCTTTCAGGCTAGGCCATGACAACCCAGCCCAGTTAACAGGTTAGACTTTGGGCCCTCAAGAGTTAATCAGAAGAGCCCAGAGAGGCCAGAATCAAGCACATATTCATTTCCTGTGTTCTTACTCACATAAAAAAATTGAGTTTTAGCTTTAGTGAGAGAACACAGATTTATAGAAAAAAAGGAAAACACATGAAGCAATGAAATAAAACAAATGTGACGCTGTTTGTCACCACCTTTTTCATTTCTTTTTTCTAAAGCTGGTGCAGAACTTGAGCCTGAGTTAAAGTCCCCACTGGCCCTGTCAGTGCTGAGGTCATCTTGGGGACATGAAGGATGAGTTCTCTGAGTATAACTTGTCTCAGCCTCCTGGGACAAGAGGGGAAGCAAAAAAATAAAAAAAAAAAAACCATGATGCCCTGTCTCCACTTTGGTGACACAGCAATAATGTGGAGAGTCCCATAAAAAAAAAAAAAAAGCAGTTAATTGGCATTTCTAATAATGTCTTTCAGCACGTCCACACACTTAACAGTTTGCAAACCAGAAACCTAAATGGGACTATGCAACATTGGTGTTTCCAACAGGCCAAATATCCTTTTCCGGATAGCGACTACTCTTTAACTTGAAAGAATTAAAGCACCGGAAGGGCTCTAGCCTTTGGACTCCAATGGCATAAATGACAACAGTCATAAGTCTGTCACACAGACCCACCTCTTCGATGGTCTCATCCTGTGGGGTGGCAGCGCTGTCGTCGGAGTCCTTCTGTGAGCCAGCATCCGCACTCTTCCGGACTTCCCTGCTCTTCTTGTGCTTGTGGGCCAGCTTCTTGGCATGCCCATCGGCCTTGCCACTGCTGAGTCGCCGCACAGGGCTTGTGAGCCATTTTCGCAAGGTATTGCCTGGTCGCTTGGGACCTGGTGAGCTCTGTGTTCCGATCATGTGGGGCTGAAGAGACGCCACAGAGGCCGGCGGACTGGCGTCATTACTGGAGACAGAGAGCGAGTCTGATGGGATGAGAAGAAAAAAAAAGGCATTTTATTGAACATGACCAAAGTTCCCTGGCATTGGGTCAAGTCTATGCCACCTCGTCATCATGCTTATGCCACAGAACCTCAAGTGAGCTGCTGGGAACTTGGAGTGTTGTCTTTAGCGAGATGTTGAAACAACGAGGAGAGGGCTGACATTGATCTCTTCTAGGATGACTATCAACCTGAGTTTCCACTACAGACAATCCTCCTCAAGATGCAATGCCCCTTTTCCAAAAGTAACTCATATCACCAGTCCTAAGGACCAGTGTGGCCACTACACAGATTCAATCATGTTGCTTTGTTTTTGTCTTTGAGACAAAGTCCCATATAGACCAGGCTAGCCACAAGCCTGCTGGATTAGCTAAGGGTAACCCTACATCCCTGATTCTCCCTCTCTACCACCCAAGTGCCAGAGTCACAAAGCTATGTGTTTCCACAACTCAATGCTTAGATTTAAAATGTCATAACCGAGGCTGGAGAGATGGCTCAGCAGCTGGGAGCACCACCTGATCTTCTAGAGGACCACAGTTTGCTCACACGGCAGCTCACTGGCAACTCCAGTCCCAAGGGATCTGACACCCACCTCTGGCTTCCACAAGTACCAGGCACAGCCATGAGGCACAGACGTACATGGAGACAAAACACTCATACACATAAATTAAAATAAAGTCATTAGTTACTTAAACTATAAGACACTGGAAAACATAATTTAAAATTTATTTCTAACCATTTGCTTGATTAATAAAATCAGGAAATAATTTAGAGAAAAAAATTAAAGCATTAGTTATATAAATGATCATAAACCAATTAGTCAAAGAAATACATTTAGTTTGACACACTACCAGTAAATATTGATCTCTGTCTATTTTCCTTCTGTCCATCAGTCCCACCCATCCAATGAAAGAGGTTAGATTCTATGCTCTAGCACCTATCTGTAAAGGTCATGTTCAGGACCAACTTGATGAAGAAAAGAGCATGGCTAGTGGGGAGCCTGGGAGACCAATAGCTGCTTTCTTATCGGTTATACAGACACACAGTTTCCTTGTTGGCAACTTAGCAATGTTATCTTACACACCTGAATAAATATTAGCAATCATAATGAAGACAATATACATTTGTTAAATCAAAGGGCAAAAGAAAGCTTGATTTTCAGGTAACCAAAATGCTCTACAGACAGGGAGGACGTCTATATCAGGTTCCTCATTGGATTTCAAAATTAAACATCGTTAAGTCAGGGCTGATAGACTTTCCAGAGGAAAATGACTAAGCCAATCCAGAGTTAGCTGAAATGTTTCCATAAACTTGAAGGCCAGCCATCAGGAACTGAGTGGCCATTTTCCAAGCACCTGACATGAGGGCTCTGCCCAAAATGATTTCTTTCAGGAGACATAATAATGAAGAAGACCACTGACCACTCGTTTATTTTCTTAGATGCTTTGCAGTCTTAGAAATGCCTGGCAATCTTTGAAAGCACTCTTAGACACACCCCCATACAGGCTCTTTGCCGCATGGCACCAGAGACCATTGTGCGCTGTAGATGCACTGCTAGAGTGTTAAGCCCAGAAGCCTGTGGCTATATGTAGTGCCAACAAGTCCCATGAGGGCTCTAGACGCTACTTGAGACAGCTGATGCTCATTTAATTGCTGTCTCATTTTTCTTTGCCCAAGACAGGCTGGTAGAGGGTATGACCTTGCATCATTCATGCTTAAAATTTTTCTGGTTTCTTCCCAGGGGCAAACTGGTTCAAAACTAATCATTGCCTGCTAAGAAGTAACTCTTTGCCTGTGCATGTAACATACGGCAAGCATATGTACATGCTTTACTATTTATTTATTTATTTATTTATTTATTTATTTATTTATTTATTTATGTTCTGTAGAGCATTTTGGTTACTTGGGACTCACTCTCTAGACCAGGCTGACCTCAAACTCACAGAGATCCACCTGCCTCTGCTTCCTGAGTGCTGGGATTAAAGGTGTGTGCCACCACCACTCCGCTACTTATTTTGTTTTTAGTGAGAGTTATTAAGCTGTGTTCACACCAGGACATTGTTAGGCACAACCCAGAAGAGGCAGGAGAAGATGAGAAGTCCAGGTCGACCTCCTTGCCTAGTTTCCGAGAGCACAGACGCCAGCAGTCCTTAGCTCAGGCCTCTTGGCACAATGACTATATAAAGGCCACAGGTGGAGGGCCTGGTAATCCACATTCCCCTACCGCCCTCCCCCTGCAAAGTCTTGCTTACAGTTCAGACTGGCCTCCAACTCACAACCCTCCCACCTCAGCCTCCCAGGTATACTGGGATTACAAGGACATGCCACTATGGCTGACTCAATTAAACATCTTTAAAGGCATGTGGTCAGCAGGTGGACACAAAGGGGTTTAACAGAGGGACAGGCTTTCTTCTGAACTCTGATGCATCATGTCACTAAGTAACTCTTTTTACTTCACAGGAGAAAAATGTTACCAGTGCCAGCAGACATTATGGAGTTAGAAGGAAATTGTGTTGAACTTTTCATTTTACTTTGAAAAGTGTTTCATTTCAGAAATCTGAAGATGCAAAAGAGAAAAAATATCCCCATCTGTCTTTAAGGTTGGCAGATGTCCTGTTGTATCTTGTGCAAATCTGATATGTCAGTCAGAATTTTGGTTGTTGGCAATGGGAAAATAAACAGATAAAGAATTCTCCCCTAGCTTTCTCTCCTTGGCAGATAAAGAAACCATAACCTAAACTAACCCTGCACTAAAAGATTCTCAAACTTGTTTTATTAACTCAAGATTTTAGCTCAGAGATTTACTGTTCCCTCCTGTTTCCCCTGAGAAGATAGAGACAAAGGTAATCAGCCCATTTGCTCATCCACAGGGAAAAGTAAAACTTTCCTGAAGGTCTGTGCCGCCACTCAGGCCAGAGCACTGGAAGGTGCCAGGTTTTGTTTCTTGTGCAAATTAAACTTAGACCCTCTCTTTGACCTACAGCCCTAAGCAATTGATGGTAAAAGTTTCTTCCAGTGTTTTAGTTTATTGCTCTGTGTGTAAATCTTATCTGCCTTGCTGACACTGAGAAACTCAAGGCTCACATTGTATTGTAAAAAGAATCACTACTGCAAATGTGTATATATCTGTACCCCCAAGAACTGGGGAGAAACAAAAAAACAGAAGAGAGGGGGGGGAGGGGGGGGGGGGGGTGGAGGGGTGGGGGAGGGGGAGAGGGAGGGGGGAGAGGGAGAGGGAGAGGGAGGAGGAGGAGAAGGAGAAGGAGAAGGAGAAGAAGAAGAAGAAGAAGAAGAAGAAGAAGAAGAAGAAGAAGAAGAAGAAGAAGAAGAAGAAGAAGAAGAAGAAAGGAACATGCAGAGGAGCAATTGTCTGTGAGTCAATTCTTCTTTCCCTCAGATTTTAGTTCCTTCACTTATTTGTAGTTCCTTTCTTTGAACCCTGAGTGAAAACTCTAGAAGCTGGCCTTCTAAAGTTATCGATACAGTGCTCATTTTTCTTTCTCAGGAGTTTCTGGTGGACACTGCAGTAAATGGACTACCAGGGGATGACCAAGCCTGGATCTGAGTTTTCCTTTCCCCCGCACCCTGACTTCTTGCCTATACAGCAATATAGATTGCTGACTTAGCAAGGAGAACCCTCAGGAGGGAAGTCCCTCGATGTATAACCAGTCCATTGCTGCAGACACTGTGTGGGCAGAAGCTTTACTGCCAAGAGGCTGCTTGGTACACCTTGGGGCTTAGTAAGTATATGTAGAATAAAGGTGACTAGGTGAGACAGTAAACTAGATACAGGCTGTCCTTATTTTGTTTTCCCACCCCAAGGACATTGATAATGTAAATCTACCACTGTTGACAGTGATGTCCTGAGCGTGGCACAGTGTGGTCAGTTCTATGATAATTACAGGTTGTCTCCACCCTCAGTGAAGCACACACAGTTGTGAATTTTCACTTATATGGAAACCAGATCAAGCAGACCCCTTTCTCTTGTGGTCCCTGCCTCTCCGTCCGATGTCAAACACTGCTTTTTCTTGGGACACAGCCCAGGCTTGGTGCATGTGAATGGCACTGACCAAGGGAAACTCCACATCGGGAAGAGAGATGGCTCAGGACTAAGCTGGCCCTGCAACTCTGGCAGACACATCTGCTTCTCATTTTCAGTTCCTCACCTTTGATCTCAGTTCGGCTCCTCCCCACAACGCTACCTTTCCTAGACTGTAGAAAGCCTTTAGCTCTTGCCTGGTTTGGAGTATGCTTTCTTCTTGCAACTGAAAAGAATCCTCTTACTCCAGGCACAGACAAAGGACCTAAGATGGGTGCCACAGAAAGCCTGTATCTGGGCTGGGTTCTCTCAGAAGGGATCCAGGCAATTCAGCCTACCCAAGTTTCCACACCTCACAGGGCAGTGATGGGAATTGGAGAAACAACAGGAATGAAATGAGGCAGCTTTATTAACTGTAGGTGTATCAGCTGTGGAATCTGGGACCCCCTGGTGGTACAGAAATGAGTGCATTGTATTTATACAAACAGCAAGTGTCCAGACAATACCCAGAATTCATGGTCAATATGAGTTAATGACAAGCCTAGCACAGTATGTAGGAAATACAAGAAAAAAAAAAGGGCTGGAATGACCTAGACAGTGACTTCATTCTATTCCTGTTTTGAAAGAAAGCTGTCCCTTATTAAAAAGGATAAACTTCAGGATAAAGGGATTCTACTGGGCTTAAAACTCCACAGCAGTGTGCACACAGCAAAGACACCACCATCTGCAGGGCGGGTGGGGCTGGTGTGGGGAGGAATTCTCAGGTATGTGGTGTCTTTCCTGAGGTTGAGGTCACACAATGGCTCCAGTGGATTCCTTTTAAAATGGAGACAGGAAAAAAAAATCCAAAGAAGAGGAAAGATTTTAGGCATGTGCACACAGGGCCAGACCCAAGGGGAGGAGAAATCTTTCTACTCTCAGTCTATAAATCTGGACAGCTGTGATT